ACAAACTCTGAACTCTTCCGCTTGTTTTATCTCCAAGTTTCACTCCCCTCCTCAGAGTATCCCTACACATAATCAGGCACATAACAAGAACACACTCAAAAACAAAACAAGTTATTGATCGAAAACAATGTATACCATGATTGGATGTTGCAGTTTTGAACTAGCCAGTCACTAATCAAAGACAAAAACCTTTTGGACAGACATCAGAACAGAACGAAATGACAATCACTCCATTATTAATTGATATTGTATTGATCATTAAAAACTTTTTACAAACAATGTAATACTGAGTGAAAACTGTTTTACACAATGTACAGTATCAGTCAAAAGTTTGGACACAGAAATTGATTGATGGGAATGCCGGTTTTTCTGAAAGTACTAACATTTCTACAGTGTGGATTCTGCTTTTGAACGTTGAATGTAGAGATCAGAGACTAACATTATTGTATGGTCGTATATCCATCAAGCTCCCAAAGCAGGTCTTTTTTAGTCAAAAGTATTATTGTTTAACAATTCCTAGCCGACTGAAACAATGTAAACAGGCTAAAACACAGAGCAAGAACTTTGCATCTGTCACCATGTACAGTTGCCCGAAGTTCCTTTGATCCCCAAAACGCAAAAACCAAAACTCACAATAAACGATATAGCACAAACGGTTCCATTGGTAAAACACCATGATATAAAACCCCTCTGGACCACCATTTCAAAACCATTTCACAACCTACAAACCAGCTCATCTCGTCTCGTTCTTCACCTAAAACTCCCCTCCATAAGACAACAGCCAATAGGGTAAAAACTAATAAGTGGGCCTGAACGATATGCCTGGTAGCCACTAACAGCCGACATACAAAGACGGTCCTGTGGGCCGAACAATTAAGAGAATTTCCAGGACCTTACCAATACTGCAAATAAGCCTGTCAAAGAGGGCGTGAACTATGCTAAATGGGCTAAAAAAAGACCAGCTCTCAAGTATGAAAATCATTATCTTTCTTCAGAACGAGGTATGGCAGGTAAACATGTTTAAAATAGGTACAATAGGGGAGAAAGTTAATTTCTTGCAAAGGGGGAACACAACATCAATGATAAAGCAAATCAACGCTGCGCATCAGTTAAAGGACACTTTCACTCTCTTCGAGTCGCTACGCTGTCAGTTTTGGCAAATAAAAAAAAACGATAGCTAGCTTGTTGCACCCCAATAAACGCTACTCATTCAGAAACCACGTCTGCTTCAACTGCTCTGGTTTAGCATTATTCTAATTGGCGAATGAGGAGCAAAGACGTCTTCTCTAAATTTCAAATAACAGAGTACTGATACATGGCTACATTATTATGTATAATGGTCTTTGACGGTTGCTTACGGGGTAAACAGACTTGGGACAATCACCCTTCCCATCCTAGGTGAGCAGGGTGAGCAAACCACAACTCCATTGCAAGTCTCCAGCGTTGACAATAATAAGCTAATTCAGAGCCTTACAGTGCCCGTCTTAACCACTATTAAGAGCTGTCGATTAGTTTTGTTGTGAAAAGCAAAATATTAATTTTATCTAGGTATTTTGATATTATTCATACATTTTTTTGGGGGGGTGTAATTTACAAATTTACAAAAAATATATAGATGCAATTGTCCAGTGGAGGGGGGTTCTGTGTGAACACATGGTATGCAACCAGATTATTGTAAGGTTTTTACTTTTTATTTTTCAATTGAATTGTTCACATTATAGGTCACATTAAATGTGAAAAAAGTTCTGACATGATTTATCTTAGTCTAATTTCTTCACATCACAAAAACCTGGAATTTTAACAAGTGAGTGTGAACTTTTTATATCCACTGTACTTGCTGTTTCGATATCTTGCATTATAGGGATTGTAAATTTTTATTGATATTGATACCATTATTAATACGTTCCTATTATTTGGTCAAAAAACAAGATGCAATTAAATTCTGTACGAAACTGTTATTGCTTTTATAGTCTTTTAATATTTGATATGTGATTTCAACGACATACCATGAACTTTGACAACAGAGAAGCAAAAGCAGCAAAATATCAAACACAATTTATACATTTTCCCAACAACAAAGAAAATAAATAATACATATTATCCCTGATAGAAACGGGTCTCAATCCCATCCCTAAATATAGTACAGGTTCCATTTTTAGCTTTTTATTATTGGTTGTATTTTCAATTTTATTTTAATTTGTATAGAACAATAAAGTCATATGAATAAGATGTAAATTGTCTATTTTGCCCTGTGAGATGAAAGGCTGGGGGTTGTGTCAATTTGTATGGAGAATCTACTCTGTTGTAGATCGATTATAGATGTAGTCTGCTTGTGTTAAGGTATCAGTGGTGTCCTGATTGAGCCACTAGACACAATTATTCTGTATCAAACACCACATGTAACTTGGTCATTTAGTATTGTATTGTCAGAGTATTTAATTTTTGCATTTTAGACCTTTAGCAGACACTTACTCAGCACAATTTAGAAAAAGTGCATTGTAGTGGTACATTAAAAGATAGTTCCAAGAAGAAAATAAGTGTAGTATAATTATGATACTGTATTTAAAACATGAGAGTAAACTAACTATTACTTCGCTTTTGTTTCAACATACATTTAGCAGTCTCTTTGAACCATGGATAAAAGAAAGCATAAATTAATGGATTAATAAAAGAATTGATAAGTGGAAGAAGTCCAATAAATGATGCATAATTAAAATTTGAAAACATACAAAACATAGAAGTGCAAGGATTCCAAAAAAGTATATAATTAAAAACAATAATTCCTAGTGTTTTTGTTGCTTTTCTCTCAGACTTACTTGCTTGTACAATTTTAACACCAGACACTGTGGCAGCCCCTTTAGAAAATACTTTTCTAGCCTGTGATCTAGCAACCAATAATATTTTCAAGTTAAGAGGTATGATAATAGAACATGGGAAAACATTTGTAATCACAAGGTCAAATACATATACCCAAAGAGATCCTTCAAGAAAATAACATTCTTCGTAACATCTACTGGGTACCTGTACGTTTACAGAAACTTTTATAAGAACAGCATTATATATGATTGAACAACACCAGGTAAAGGCTATACAACTCAAAGTTGTTTTTACTGTTATTTTCAAATGGTACATTAATGGATCACACACAGCAACATAACGATCAATAGATATCAAGATCAAATTGCCGACAGACAAAGAAGTACAAATATAAGAGATGAACATTACCAACGCACAAAAATATTTCCCAAGAACCCAGCATGGTTCTAATATTGCTACAGTATTTGCAGGTATCACAATAAGTCCCACCAGGAGATCTGACACAGCCAGAGAGAGGATGAGCAGGTTGGTTGGAGTCTGGAGATGCTTGAAGTGAGAGATGGAGATGATCACCAGTAGATTTAAAAATACTGTAACTGCTGAAATCAATGAGAAAAAGATATACAGTGTTATATAAATAGATGTAGACATTAAATATGTTCCGCAAGACGAATTTCCGTCTTGATAACAGTATTGAACATCTTCATGTTCCTCCATTAGAAAAAAATAGTAAAATGTTGAGGTCCTCCTCTTGCTTTGTCCTGGGTTTGACCCTGTCAGGTCAGACCTCTGACTTACCTGAACTCTGCTTGTCTTTTTATCCGATTGGCCATCTCTTTAATCCCGGACCACACACACACACACACACACACACACACACACACACACACACACACACACACACACACACACACACACACACACACACACCACCACCACTAATACTTACTGTGTACACATCTGACAAGGAGGAAAACAAACAAAGACTTTGTAAACACATGATGTAATGTATGATAGGATATTCCCAGTCTGTATAGCATCTCCTTCTGCCATACTGATGTTTTCAAAATGTTACCTTTTCAGTTTGAAGTATTTCAATGGTGTTGTGTTGGGCTCAGGTCTATTCTGTTTCCATGAATGCTCGATGATTGTTGCTGAGTTTGTATCATTGTCCAGCCCAGTTTTTAATGGATGGAGCTATTCCAAGATGGCGCCGTTGATGGCAGCCATGACTCAAAGCTGCGCATTTTTTTTGTTTTTCTCAGATTTTTTTTCAAAAGAGATTAGAGTAGATTAGATTCGCCTTTATTGTCAATGGACCATACAAGTACAGTACAATGAAATGCAGCTTGCATCCAATCAGAAGTGCAAAAGAGCAGTGGAAAAAGAAACAAAGTACAGTGTGAGGGTGTGCAATTGACATAGATATGTAAATGTGCAGATATTCAGATCAACAATGTAGCAAAATGCAAATGTGCAGAGTGAAACACCAGCGGAGAACATGTGCAAATGGTATACGGATAGTACAAACTATAAGTATTGTGCAAAAGACAAATATAATGAATGGCTAGCAGTGTGCAGAGTAAGAGGTAGCAAGAGGAGTACCACATAATGTATTGTGCAAATGGCAGATCCAGTAAGAAAATTAGCAGAGTATAGGCAAGGTTACCGAAGGGTTTCAGAGTTCAGTATGTTAATAGCAGTAGGGAAGACAATATTCCTGAGCCTGCTGGTGCTGGTAAGTAGAGATCTGTAACGCTTACCTGATGGCAGTTAGTAGGTAGGCGAGCATTCTTTAACTTCCTTAAGAAGTTAGGTTGTTGGAGATGTGGACACCCAGGAAATTGTAGCTGGCCACACGTTCCACCGTGGTCTCATCAAGGAGAACTGGGGCATGTATACAGCTATTTGTCTTCTGGTAATATTTGGTTTTCTTGGCATTGATGGCCAGGTTGTTATCTGAACACCAAATTACTAGGTGATTCATCTCCTCTCTGTAGGCTGCCTGGTTGTTTTCTTTGATCAGTCCAACTACTGTGGTATCATCTGCATACTTGACAATGGTATAAAAGCTGTGTATAGGTACGCAGTTGTGGGCAAATTCTTTAATAGATTTTTTATTTAAATTTTTTTAACCAGGTAGGACGATTGAGAACAAATTTCATTTGCAACGGCAACCTGGGAGAAGAAACTAGGGATTGAACCCAGGACATCATACATTTAAAGCATGCACTCTACCACTGAGCTACACCAAAACTCCAAAGAAAAGAGTGGGCTAAGCACACAGCCCTGTGGAATACTGGTGTTCAGGGTGGAGGTGGTGAGGTTGTCCAACCGGACAGACTGTTGGTTAGAAAGTCTAGAATCCAGTTGCATTGATCCCAAAGTCTTGGAGTTTCGTAACCAGCCAAAAGGGGACGATTGTATTGAATGCAGAGTCTATGAAACAAAGTCTATGAACAGCATCCTCATATAGGTGTTGGTTTTGTCCAGGTGGGTCAGGGAAGAGTGGACAGTAAATGGTAAATGCTGCGCTTTTATATAGCGCTTTTATCCAAAGCGCTTTACAGATCCTGCGTCACATTCAACCACTCATTCATACACTGACGACCGTGTCTACCATGCAAGGCGACTGCAGGCTCGCCAGGAGCAGCTGGGGTTAGGTGTCTTGCTGCCCCTGTAGTTGTGGAGATGGTGTCCTCAGTAGACCTGTTAGTGTCATAGGCAAACTGATCTGGGTCCAGAGTTGGAGGAAGGACTAAAGGAGTATTTCAAAGCACTTCATGATTGTGGGGTTGAGCGCAACAGGTCAAAAGTCACACAGTGGAATGGTTTGGCACTGGCACAATTGTTGTGGTCTTAAAGCATGTGGGGACAACCACCAGGGACAGTGACAGTTTGAAAATGTCAGTGAAAACCCCAGCCAACTGCCCAGCACATTCTCTGAGCACACGCCCGGGGACACCGTAACTGGGTGAGGTTAAGGCTTAAGATGGTGTTAAAGTATAACTACTTCCCAGAGTTGGTTGATGTGAGAAAGAATCGCAGAGTCAAGAAGTTCGTTCACCAAGTTTTAATCAAAGATATCTTAGGAGATCACACACTCCAAGCCTGCCCCAATGAGAACTGACTCTCCACTGGTTCACAGAGTTTTTATACCTTTTTGAGCACATGGTGTAATCGTGGTTATTTTCCGTTGGGCCCCTTCTGACCTGACCTTTTCACTTAACTTCTCCTTGTCTTGAACATGTCTGGTTTTCTATTACTCAAGATAGCGTGTCGTTCTCTGCAGCTAATCTTACTTCCCCTTTCTAGGCCATCTTTCTGTACGTGCCCTAGCTTTCACCTTTCAGATCAGACACTATTTCACCCTGTTTTTACACACAGATGAGACTTCTCTACTTATATGGTAAAAAAGCAACTGCATTTAGATGAAGAATAAACTTCTCTTAAGGCCTGACAGTAAATGTCATATTTGCACAATGGTGTGAAAACGCTGAATGGGCTTAAACAAAGACAAACTCTCTTGCAAGTATGAACATCTTTAGCATTTTTTTCAGAACTAAGTATGGCAGGTAAATAATTTTTAAACGGAATATCTTCCATGAAAACCAAACTAAGAGTTCACAAAAGGACTATGGATCGATACCTGGTTCTATTACGGACAAGCTTCCACATTTCTGAAGCTGTCAATTATTTTTGTTGTGTAAAGCATAATATTTATTTTATCTAGGTATTTTATATTAATTCTTATTTTTGGGGGGGATATTTTTTTGTAATTTACAAATTCTAGATGCAATTTTCCAGTGGAACAGGGTTCTGTGTGAACACGGGGATGATATGCAACCAGGTTATTGTAGGAAACCAGGTTAATAATTTTCAATTGAATTGTTCACCTTATAGGTCACATTAAATGTGAAAAATGTGAAAACCTGGAATTTTAACAAGGGAGTGTGAACTTTTTATATCCACTGTACTTGCAGTTTTGATATCTTGCATTATAGGGATTGTAAATTTTTTATATTGATACCATTATTAATTCTGCTTAACAAAATGAGTCTTTATCGCTAGCACTGTCAATACTTTCCTGTTATTTGGTGAAAAGACAAGACGCAAATACATTATTTACTAAACTGTTATTGCTTTTATAGAGTCTTTAAATATTTGATATATGATTTCAACATGACGTTCAATGAATTATGACAACAGTAAAAAAAGGATATCAGCAGAAAAGTATCCAACACAATATTCACATTTTTCCAAGATCAAAGAAAATAAATTAAATATAAGAATAATAATACATATTATGACTAATAGAAACGGGTCTCAATCCCATCCCTAAATACAATACAGGTTCACTTTTTGCTTTTTTATTGGTTGTATTATACATTTTAAAATGAGTATAGAACAATAAAGTCATAGGATGTAAACTGTCTAGTTTGCCCTGTGAGATGAAAGGCTGGGGGTTGTGTCAGTTTGTATGGAAAATCTACTCTATTGTAAATAGATTATATTTAGTCAGCTTGTGTTAAGTTAGCAGCAGTGTCCAGATCGCACCACTAGACACAATATGTTGTATCAAACACCACATGTAACTTGGTTATTTATATAAGTAATGTAAGAGTACTCAATTTTTGCTTTCTAGTCATTTAGCAGACACTTACTCAGCACAATTGAAAAAAAGTGCATTGTAGTGTTACATTAAAAGATAGTTCCAAGAACAATAAAGAGTAGTACACTTGTGATGTAATTAAAACATGAGAGTAAACTAACTATTACTTCGCTTTTGTTTTAACATACATTTAGCTTTCTCTTTGAACCATGGATAAAAGAAAGCATAAATTAATGGATTAATAAAAGAATTGAGTAGTGGAAGATAGCTTATAAATGATGCATACTTAAAATTTGAAAACATACAGAACATAGAAGTAAATGGATTCCAAAAAAGTATGTAATTAAAAACAATAATTCCTAGTGTTTTTGTTGCTTTTCTTTCAGACTTACTTGCTTGTACAATTTTAACACCAGACACAGTGGCAGTCCCTTTAGAAAATACCTTTCTGGCCTGTGATCTGGCAACCATTAATATTTTCAAGTTAAGTGGTATGATAGTAGAACAGGGGAACACATTTGAAATCACAAGGTCGATAACATATACCCCAAAAAAACCTTCAAGAAAATAGCATTCTTCGAAACATCTACTGGGTACCTGCACGTTTACAGAGATTTTAATAAGAATGGCATTATATATGATTGAACAACACCAGGTAATGGCTATACAACTCATAGTTGTTGTTACGGTTACTTTCAAATGGTACATTAAGGGATCACACACAGCAACATAACGATCAATAGATATTAAGACCAAGTTGCCGACAGACAAAGAAGTACAAATATAAGTGGTGAACATTAGCAACGCACAAAAATATTTCCCAAGAACCCAGCATGGTTCTAATATTGCTACAGTATTTGCAGGTATCACAATAAGTCCCACCAGGAGATCTGACACAGCCAGAGAGAGGATGAGCAGGTTGGTTGGAGTCTGGAGCTGCTTGAAGTAAGAGATGGAGATGATCACCAGTAGGTTTAAAAATACAGTAACTACTGAAATCAATGAGAAAAAGATATACAGTGCTATATAAATAGATGTAGACATTATATATGTTCCGCAAGACGAATTTCCGTCTTGAAAACAGTATTGAGCATCTTCATGCTTCTCCATTAGTAATAAATAGTAAAATGCTTTTGTCCTCCTCTTGCTTTGTCCTGTGTTTGACCCTGTCAGGTCAGACTTCTGACTAACCTGAACTCTGCTTGTCTTTTTATCCAATCTGCCATCTCTTTTATCCCGGACCAACAGGGAAACACTTATTTACTCAGGCTCTCGGTCTCTCACAACACACACACACACACACACACACACACACACACCACCACTAATACTTACTGTGTACACATCTGACAAATCTGACAAGGAGGAAAACAAACAAAGACTTTGCAAACACATGATGTAATGTATGATAGGATATTCCCAGTCTGTATAGCATCTCCTTCTGATGTTTTCAAAATGTTACCTTTTCAGTGTAAAGTATTTCAATGGTGTTGTGTTGGGCTCTGGCCTATATTATATCCATGAATGCTTGATGTTGCTGAGTTTCTATCATTGTCCAGCCCAGTTTTTAATGCATGGTGCTATTCCAAGATGGTGTCGTCGATGGCAGCCATGACTAGGGTTGCCAGCTGTCCCGAATTAGGCGGGACGTCCCGAATTTTGAGCCTAATTAATTTGTCCCGCACGGGACCTCACTTCTCCTGTTTTTTGACTACTACGCTGATCTAACCACTGATTCAACATCAGCAGTGCTTAATCTGATCATGACGACACTTGAGATTGAAAATGATCACTGACAGGGCGACACCTCACACCTGATCTATCATCATCATCAAATCACATATCACACAGCCAGCCCACCTCTCACGCGCATCAGTATACGTTAAGTAAATGCGCCCTTCGCTAAGCCATGCCCAAAAACCGCCACAGGCCAATCGTGGTTTAGCAACCGTAACTAGGCGCAGGAGTTCTGTCAAGCTTTCGAGCAAGGGAAACATGCCAACGCGTTGTGCTTATGGATTGTGTAAATCTGATACCCGATATCCTAAAAGTTTGTACGGGGAGGTGGAATTTTTTACTTTCCCAAAACCTAAAACCCAAGGGGAGAAATGCGGGCGTGGACGGAGGCTCACTGACATACTTTAAAATACTCATGAGTATACGCGGCTCTCCGGGTAGTAGTAGAAATACTTATACCAAACATGTCAGCTAGTATTTTCTCCATTAATCCAACTGCAGTGCGCAGAAAATATAAAAATAACTCGTCAATTAGTGCTAGTTTTCGACTTGGGCTTGCGGTAGTTGGCTGCTCCATACATTCCATCCTTGTTCTTTGTGCTTTTGTCCAGTACTGGAGCGTTGAAGCAGAGGGTTCAATAGAGTTCCAAAAAAGCAAAAACATTTTTTCTGAGGGAAATTTGGTGTAATATTTAAAGTCCTCATCAGACACACAAAATCTGCTGAAGTGAGTTTGAATCAACGTTAATGTATTGATCCGTTGCTCCAGCTCTTCGATCTTTTGAAGTGCAGCCTCTAGTGCACCTAATGTAGACCAGATAATAAAATGAATATGTCACAGGACGAAAGTACTAGGACTAGGGTATAAACATTTTTGTAGGCTAGAATTAATTCCAAAATGTTTAA